TTAATAAAAATCTAGAATAAGTAAAAAGCTCATCCAATGGAGACCTGCCATGACTACCATCTGACTCATTAATGTTCTTTAGGGAAGGAAGTCTGCTATCCTTACCTGGTCTGGCCTGGAAGGGCAATAAATGGTGGAGCGATGCCCGCACCGCATGAATGAGTTAAAAAAAAACACACCCATTTAAATGTTTAAGAGGCATTTAGACAGACACATGAACAGGCAGGGAATAGAGGGATACAGACTGTGTGCAGGTGGATGGGATTAGTTTAGAAAGGCATCATAGTCAGCACAGACATGGCATGCTCAAGGGCCTGCTCCCATACAGCACTATTTTTTGTTCTTTTAGGAGGGAGATGGAACATGTAAAGGCACAGAGGGAGAAGGACAAAGGGAGAGACATATTAAAATGCAGAGCAATTAAATACAGAGCCACACACACATGGAGGGACACAGAAAGAGACATGCATACAGGGAAGCAGAGCTGCAAGATGGAGAGAGACATAAACCATCAGCCATAATCCAAACTGACATCCAAGCACAGCACAATCAATCAGTCACCATACAAAATGAGGCAACACTAATGATGTAATCACATCATGCAGCATGTGTCACCAGAAAAGCAGTGTTGATGAAGAGAGGTTTAGATTGTACATAGACCAAGAAAGATGCAATGAGGATACAATGGATAATGAAGCACTGGATTCAGGTATTTTGGAGGAAGCAATGGCATAGAGATTAATCTTCCAAGCCACATACATTCAAGGGACTAGACTTGGCGTCCATTCTAAGAACCAACTCTAACATTGTTGACTGGAGTTGCACTGTTACATAGTGCTGATATTCTAGCACAGATCACTGGATGTCTTGAATGTTGTGCTTGTGGAGAATCTACTGCTAGAGGAGGAAATCCCCCTCTAAGGGGCATCTTCCAACAGTCACACTGTCAATAGTCATCCAGGCCTGGAGCTGGTAGCTACAGAACAAGGTTACAACTGTGTGGGAAAGTGAGATGGGGAAAACAGTATTCAAATAGCAAGATTAAACAGCCATTCAATTGGTTAAAACTGCTGTACACCAGAAATTCAGATAAAACATTTTCAGTACGTGTTTGCAGTGATTGGAACTAGGTGAACCTCACTGACTACAAAGTCTTTGATTGGGGTTGTTAACCTGGGCCAGTCAGGAATGCCCTGGCTGACCAACATAACCAGCAGATTTAGAGCCTCCTCAGTTCAGGAACTGACTCCGAACTGGATGGTTACAGCCAGTGTACTGTGCACAAGTAAATAAAGGGTGGCTTAGTGACAGGATACTGGCCTCTGTGCAGTTATTTTAATGTTATAAAATAAAGGCTTGCACTCATACAACACTTCTTCATTATAATTTACAGCCAATAGTGCAGTTACTTGCAGAAAGTAACAGGCAGACTGCACCCAGGAAGATCCAACAAGCAATAAAATAATAAAATGAGTAAATCATTTATTTTTGTGATGTTGATTGAGGGGTAAATACATTTTCCCTTCTCTTCTTTGAAATAGTGCAATAGAATCTTTTGCCTTTGAAGGCTATGAATTGTCTAAATCTCCAAGAAACAACTCAGCATAACAACTAGTCTGGAAGGGGGCCCCTCAGTACTATACTGGAGTATCCATTTTGATCACAGTGCTCAAGTCCTGGAGTAAGACTTCAATCCTCAACTTCAGCTTCCCCATCATCCCCATACCCAAGAAAACACAATGCAGTGTGCCTTAATGACTATCGCCCAATAGCATTTCATGATTATCGAAGTCAGTGCTTCGAAAGGCTGGTCATGACCCACATCAGCTCCAGTCTCCCAGCCTGCCTCAATTCCTGACAGTTTGTCCACTGACATAACAGATCCACAAAGGATGCCATATCCCTAGCCCTGCACTCATCCCTGGAACATCTGGATAATAAAGACACCTCCATCAGACTACTGCTCGTTGACCACAGCTCCACCTTCAACACCGTTATCCCCCTCCAGACTGATCTCAAAACTCTGTGACCTTGGTCTCGGCTCCACCCTCTGCAACTGGATCCTCAGTTTCCTGACCCACAGACCGCAATCAGTGAGGATAGGTAACTGCACCTCCTCCTCAATAACACTCAACACTGGAGCACCACCGCCCCCCACCCCACCCTCCTCCCCAGGATGCGTTCTCAGTCCCCTACTATACTCCCTGTACACCCACGACTGTTTCCAAATTCTGAATGAACGCCATCTACAAGTTCGCTGACAACACCATCATAGTGGGACGGATATCTAACAACGACAAAGGAGATAGAGGGCTTGGTGTCGCGGTGCAATGAATACAAACTGTCTCTCAACATTGGCAAAACTGAACAACTGATCATTGACTTCAGAAAGGTGGAGAACACGCCCCCATCTACATCAACAGAACTGAGGTTGAGTGATGAGCATCAAGTTCCTTGGAGTGACGATAACCGATGATCTGTCCTGGATTTCCCACATAAATGTGACAGTCAGGAAAGCACAACAACGCCTCTTCTTCCTCAGGCAGCTCAGGAAATTTGGCATGTTGATAAGGTCCCTCACCAACTTCTACAGATGCCCCATTGAAAGCATATTGTCCAGGTGCACAATGGCCTGGTATGGCAACTGCTCTGCCCAGGTATGCACAGCCCAGACCATCACAGACACCAACCTTCCATCCATGGACTTTATTTACACGGCTCGCTGCTGCGGAAAGGCTGCGAACATCAAAAACCTATTGTACCCTGGTAATGATCTCCTACAACCTCTTCCATCAGGCAGAAGATACAGAAACCTGAACACACACACCAGCAGGTTCAGGAACAGCTTCTTCTTGGCCATTATCAGACTGTTGAATGGACTCTCTAGCCTCAAATAATGTAACCTGCGAGCCTCTAAGTCTTTTTGATCTGTACGTCCTTTGCTTGCTGTGACCTGCCTGTACGGCTCGTAAACTAAACTTTTCACTGTATTTCGGTACACGTGTCAATAAAATCAATCTGAACTAAGAGTGCTACCTACTTAGCCATGACAGGCACTGGGATGATGTTTCATAAAAATTCAGTGTCATTTCAAGAATAATTTTAAATTTTAGTGAATTTGAGATTGTTTAGCATAGCTATAAGATCAATACACACTCAGCTAGACCAGTGTGCATGTCCTTGACACTTACTTGTTAGTATCAATGTTTCAATTCACTTTGGTCATTTACATTTGTCAGCAGCTTCCACAATGATGGGGCACATGGTCGTTAAACATGTGTAATAACTATCAGAATGCTTCAGTTTCACATTACCCTAAAAGGCAAAAGTTCTCATGAAAGGGTCATCTCAATCTTCCTCCTCTCTCCAAAGATGCTGTCTAATCTGCTGAATGCTCCTTAGTATTTTGTTACAATTATAGATGTTACTATCCTGGATTATTGCAGTGTGGGAGAAATGACCCTGGAACTGTCAATAATTACTGCCTTATTTTGTGTTAATTAGCATCAATTAAATATTAAACAGTTTTCAAATACTTAATTTTTCATAAAATGTAACGAACAGTATATGATCTTTCTCCTCAGTGCTCAGGCTCCATATTTATTCAGAGTCACTGAACTCTATTCAGGTCATTACACACAGCCCAGTACTAAATCTAGTTTCCATTAAGAACATTTCACAAATCATAGTAAGGAGGAGTTGAAATGATTGTATACAGTGAAGGTAAGCTAGAAAGTAAAACTGAGGAGCTCAGGCCAGGAACAATGAGAAAAACGGTCACTAATAAATTCAATTACGAATTCACAAACCTATAGAATGGCAAGAATATGGAACTGGTTCTATTGGTCAGATGGCATAAACATAGTTAAGGGCAGGTTAAATGAAATATATAAGAAAGGAAAGTTGATGTGTTTTGATGAAGAGGGATGGGAGAAGTTCAAGTGCAGCATAAGCACTGACGTGAACAGTGGGCCAAACAAACTGTTTCTGTGCTCAATATACAAACCTAACCTCAGTAATACATCCTTGTGTTGATAGATACATAAAAGTTTTTGGATGCTGTGTGGAAGTTGCACTGTAGACCATCTCCATGAACTGGTGGATATGAGAACACTTTCATTAATAGAATCCCTACAGTGTGGAGACAGGCCCTTTGGCCCAACAAGTCCACACTGACCCTCAGGGCATCCCACACAGACCCATCCCCCTATAATCCACCTAATCTACACATCCCTGAACACTATGGGCAATTTATTTTGGCCAATCCACCTAGCCTGCACGTCTTTGGATTGTGGGAGGAAACCAGAGCACCCAGAGGAAACCCACACAGACACGGGGAGAACGTGCAAACTCCACACTGACAGTCGCCCGAGGGTGGAATCGAACCCGGGTCCCTGGTACTATAAGGCAGTAGGGCTAACCGCTGAGCCACCGTGCCACCCCTAAATTCTTGTTTAGAATCTCACCCATCTCCTGCGGTTCCACACATATGCAGCTTTGCTGATATTTAAGAGGCCCTATTCTCTCCCCAGTTACTCTTTTTCTCATGTTGCGCAGTGAGATCAGAACAAGTCAGTATTTCACTTGAACTGATGCTGCAGAGTGGGTGGGTCTCAGTGTTCATGTAACTCTCCATTAGAAGGGAAAACTCATGATTTTTGCAACAAAGGGTAGTTAAGCAGTAATCACATGGGTGTAAGACTGGAACCACTCTGACCCGTTAAGGGACTGTGTGTTTTCTTACTTGAAGGATGCGAGTGAACCATTTTGGCTTTTACATCAGCGAGTCTTGCGCACACTTTTACTGATTCCAGCTTTTTCTTCCAGACTTCCTTTCATAAACTGAATTCAAATTCTGTAACGATCAGGTAGGACTTCAACTCTTGATCCCTAGACTATTAGTTGAGGTTTTAGGATTTCTAAAGGCAGTTCCACACACACTGTTTAAACACCGTTTAGAACATTATATTACTGTCTATCTGATTTATAGAAGCACTTACCAAAAACTGTGAGGTTAACCTGGCTCTCTCGATTTCCCGTCGGAAAAGTTGCAAACTCACAGATGTAGACACCTTCATCGGATAACTCTAGGCTGGACAGCTGGATGGTCGCATCATCCAGTGATGGCTTCTTAAAAGATACTCTGCCTTGGTGAGGGGGCAAGACAGAGACCCCCATAGTCGGATGAAAAATAGCTATATTTTGCTTCGACCCATTGGTTGCCTTTTGCCATGTCACTTGAGTGATTTTGATGTTGGGGTTGATGTTTGTGAATGTGCAGCGCAAAGTCACGTTGGCTCCAATAAATCCAGACACGCTATCATCCACAATCACCGTCTGGGCCTGAAAAACTACAACAACATGAGCTTATTACAAACTGGTCAATCGTACAATCAGATAGCACATGCATACTGTCACAAAACATTGTCGTACATTTAAAAGTACGAACGTGCATCTATTTAGCACCTTTCACATTCCCAGGATGTCCAGAGTGCTTCCCAGCCAATGAGATGCCATAGCTTCACTTTGCAGCCAGCTTTAACCAATCAAATCCCATCAATAGAAACAACAGGTTCAAGTATTTTAGATAACAAGATGTAGAGCTGGATGAACACAGCAGACCAAACAGCATCAGAGGAGCAGGAAAGCTAACGTTTCGGGTCTGGACCCTTCTTCATTTTTTCTGAATAAGGGTCCAGACCCAAAACGTCAGGTTTCCTGCTCGGCCTGCTGTGTTCATCCAGGTCTATACCGTGTTATCTCAGATTCTCCAGCATCGGCACTTCCTACTATCTCAGGTTCAAGTATTTTGTTTTTTTTGGTGGTGTTAGTTGAAGTACAAATGTTGGCAGAGACGCTGGGAAAACCCAGTTGTTCCTCTTCAACAAAAAAGTGTTATGGTATCTTTTGTATCAACTCGTACAGGCTGACAACAGTTTTAAACAAAAGTCAGCTTCTCCGAGAGAGATGCAATCCTTTAGATACTGCTCTGATGTCTCAGCCCGTATCATGCATTCCTATTCCTAGAACAGGGTTTGCACACACTACCTTCTCAGTGTCGAAGTGACAGTGCCACCCACCAAGCTACTTGCAATGGAAAATGTAAGATTTATACGTATATATTTTCATTTCGTTATTGGAGTCTGAACTAGTTTTGCGGGCTTTGGTTCAAATATATGATGGCCATTAACGTTAGCCAGCCAGCGACGCCCATGCCCCACAAGAGAATTAAAGAGGAAAATTAACAAATAACTTGAGTATTTCTGGAACCTTTTTCCCTCATTATCAATTCATTCACAGGACATGAGCATCAATGGCTAAGTTTATTTTTAAATCGACAGTCAACCTTATTGCTATGGGCCTGGAGTCACGTATAGGCCAAATCAGGTAAGGTTGCAACATTTCATTCGCTAAAGGACATTAGTGAACAAGATGTATTTCTAAACAACAATTGACATGGTCATCATTAGATTCTTAATACAGACTTATATTGAGTTCAAATTCCACTATCTGCCATGGCAGGATTCAATTCCAGATTTCTGGAACATTACCTGGGTCTTTGGATCACTCAGTGACAATATCACTGCGCAATCACTTAGTCCCTGTTTAAATAAGTATGAGCGAAGGAGTTCTTGGGGTGATAATGTGAATTTGGTTGCACTGGGAGACATTTACAACCAAAAGAATAAACTTTGAGTATTAGCTTATTTTCTGTTTAGACGGATAAGGATTTTTGCTTTGGTTGGGGAAAAGGCACATAGGTTAGAAAGCATTTATTTTCGGTTTGGAGCAATGTTGGTTGAAGTTAGATCTATCAAACAGTTTCTCCTGGAGAAAATTGTTCAGAAAAAGGTGGGGAAAACTTATCTCAGCGCAAGATCTTTAATTAGGGGAAAGGTCCAGAGCAGAAATGTTTGATTTAAACCTTGAAGAGGTTTCTTGAAGCTGAGAAAGACCAAAAACTCAGGATTGTGCGACTAATCAAGGAAGAGACTACAAAGCTCACATGATCAAGAATTGAAAGAAATACTTAAATTAAACCGATAGATATCATACAGGAGTGAACTCTGTGCTAGGATAGATGAGATTTTATTTTTACTGTGTTTCAAAACTTTTCAAATTGTTTCAGATGTAAATAACTTACTTTATTCTATTTTATCTTAATTTTATCTAATTTTTTTGCAAAATAAAACCAAAATCTGCAGGACTATGTGCTTGTATTTCAGTGAAAAACCACCTCATTACAAGAAACAAAAATCTAACAAGCTAGATTAGTCTGACTTGTCTAGTACTAACATTAGTTGGTCTCATAACACCATCATCAGATAAGCATCTTACAAAATGTTATCCATAGCTCTTCATGACCTGTTTGAGGGAGAGCCATGAGTAGAGCACAGACAGTGTGACATGTTATAGCAATGGAAGAAACGTAGTTGACTACAGGCACCAGTCAGATTGGCAACAAATATGTAATTATTTCCAATTCAGCAACAAGCTTGAAACCATTTTGTTCAAATGTCAGTACAGCTGCTGCCTAACATACAGTGCTATGTTCAGGCCTAGGCATTAACATCCATTCCTATGGTGAGCACATATTTCTGGTCAATTAAATAACTGATGATTGGAACACGTTCCTGCAGCATTGCTACACATTCTCTTTCAACCATGCTGAAAAATCCAAATGACCAGAAATGTGAAAAGAACTTTTTCCTATTGATTGTTCATGTTACTTACAGCACTCTTGAATCATTCCAGTGGCAGATTATTAACCACTGCATACTGATTACAATTAATTATACAACAACGGACTATTACAATTCTATTATTCAATGCTATTACAATCACTCTACACAGTTGTGTTTGCTTAACATATCTGATCAACTTTTATCAAGATTTGCAGTTTCAGTGAAGACACAGAGGTGCAGCAACTGGGACACAAAACCAAAGCAGACTGTGTGCAGTGTGAATCTTGTCCTTTTTAACATTTTAAACTGTGCATACATTATCCACAGCAGCTGCCTGTGACAGGTTTGTGGGTTTTGTCAGACAGATCCGAATGATTCCAAGTAGACTACTGCCTAATCCAAAAGCTACATTGCAGACAAATCAGGGTTACACCATGAAAACCAACCTTCGTGTTTATATGAAACAAGCCCCTGGAGGTACATCACATTAATTAGCCCTCGGCCTGCCTTGGAGACCAGTAATGAAATACTCAGAGCAACAATGTATGCTCTCAAGACAAAACTAATCTATTCTTGGAGCTGTGTGGCTGTTTTCTCCATGTTTCCAGGTAATTATTCATTATTTTCATGCTAAGAGATCCCTTATAACAGTGACAGTCAGAGTATCTCTCTGTGCTAGGCCTGAATTCCTAAGTGTACTAAACCAATTACTGAGTAAAATAGCAATTTTTCAGAAGTTACATGAAGAGACTGTGCAAGCTGACTAATTTTACAGCTTGAATTAGTTTGCTGTGCTGATTCAGACACAAGATATGATAAATCTGCACATGTGCAGTCTTGTTAGCAGTCATGCTTACCTGCAATCTCTTTCCTGTACTCTGTCTTGTCATTGTTTGAGATCTGACCTACAATGGTGGCCAGGGATCTTGTAAATGGAGTTGAGGTAGAGTTTGGCCACGCAGTCGTGAGTACATAAGGTGTATGGTAAGGGGCAGAGTATGCAGCCTTGCGGGGTACCGGTGTTGAGAATTATAGTGGAGGTGGTGTTGGCACCTACCCTGACTGATTGAGGTCTGTGAATCAGTAAGTCAAGGATCCAGTTACAGAGGCGGGGAGCCAAGACTCGGAACTTAGAGAAGAGTCTTTTACAAGACACAGTTTTGTGAATGTAATCCCTGCTTTCTCTGGAATACCATGAGAGAGTTCTTAAAATAGAGAAATATCAATAAAACCAGCTCTACTGCCATTGGGATCACAATCTCCCTCACTGTGATAACCACAGCTCTAAAGTGAGTAGATTTATATCTTTTGTACTTTTAACATTTAAATCGGCCCACCATGTCCTTTATGGTTGATGAGGACGAATACTGCTTTGGAATCAATTCTCCCGGTTGTTACTTGTTCATTCGTTTAGGGATTATGAGCATTAATGGCTGGGCCAGCATTTATTGCCAGCCATAAACTGAGGAGTGGCAGATGGAGTTTACCTTAGATAAATGTGAGGTGCTGCATTTTGGAAAGGCAAATCACGGCAGGACTTATACACTTAATGGTAAGGTCCTGAGGAGTGTTGCTGAACAAAGAGACCTTGGAGTGCAGATACATAATTTCTTGAAAGTGGAGTTGCAGATACATGGGATGGTGAAGGCGGCATTTGGTATGCTTGCCTTTATTGGACAGTGCATCGAGTATAGGAGTTAGGAGGTCATGTTGCAACTGTACAGGACATTGGTTCAGCCACTTTTGGAGTATTGCATGCAATTCTGGTCTCCCTCTTACAGGAAGGATGTTGTGTAACTAGAAAAGGTTCAGAAAAGATTTACAAGGATGTTGCCAAGATTGGAGGGTTTGTGCTATTGGGAGAGGCTGAATAGGCTGTGGCTATTTTCCCTGGAGCACCAGAGGCTGAGGGCTGATCTTAAAGGGATTTATAAAATCATGCGGGGCATGGATAGGGTTAATAAGCAAGATCATCCCCCTGGGTTGGGGAAGCCCAGACTAGAGGGCATAGGTTTAAGGTGAGAAGGGAAAGATTTAAAAGGGACCTAAGGGGTAACATTTTCACACAGAGGGTGGTGTGTGTATGGAATGAGCTGCCAAAGGAAGTGGTGGAGTCTGGTATGATTACAACATCTAAAAGGCATCTGGATGGGTATATGAATAGGAAGGGTTTAGAGGGATATGGGTCAAATGCTGGAAAATGGGACTAGGTTAGATTGGCATGTCTGGTCAACACAGATGAGTTTCCACACTGTAGGGATTCTATGGTTCTATGATCTGGATGGGTATATGAATGGGAAGGGTTTAGAGAGATAATGGGCCAAATTTTTTTGTTTTTTTCTTTATTCATTCATGGGATGAGGTTGTTACTGGCTAGGCAGCATTAATTGCCCATCCTTAATTGCCCAGAGAGCAGTTAAAAGTCAACCACATTGCTGTGGGTCTGGAGTCACATGTAGGCGAGACCAGGTAAGGATGGCAGTTTCCTTCCCTAAAGGACATTGGTGAACCAGATGGGTTTTTCCAACAATCAACAATGGACTCATGGTCATCATTAGATTCTTAATTCCAGATATTTATTGAATTCAAATTCTGCCATCTGCCATGGTGATCCTGGCAAATGGGACTAGATTTATTTTGGATGTCTGGTCAGCATTCATGGGTTGGACCAAACGGTCTGTTTCTGTGCTGTATATCTCTATGACTCTATAACTGCTCCCAGGAAGGTGGTGGTGAGCTGTAATCCATGTGGTATAGGTACTGCTAGGAA